CCAGCCAAAAAAAGTCCATTTACCATACTATTGGATGGAGAAGGTATTGCTGTTGGAGAAGAACCTTGTATATTTTGGAATGACCTTGGCCACAGAACTAAGTTTGGACCACAAATGTGGCAGTCAAAGCAAAGAAGAGACCGAAACATCTCTGATGTAACTCCAGTACCAATTGGGGTTCTTGTATTAGGTCTCTGAAAACAACAATCTCCCAATACTTGAATATGCCTCATCTCTCTAGTCACACATTTGCTCCCAGAAGCCTTGCCAAGACTGACATTGTCCAGTCGTCTGCAGTTCACCTGATAACTGGATCTGTAAGATCTACTCCAACAGCAATTTGTGAGTCTGATGTTCAACCTCTTGAGAATCATAGCAAAGAACTGCTAATTTGGTATGGAAATTGTCTTCATTCTCTAACTGTATGTCATTGTTGAGGAACTGAAAAACCAAATCAAGGCTGAAAGGATTGTCTTGTTTCAAAAGAGGCATAAAGGCTACTAAAGAAACAGCAGCATTTCATGATGATAGGAAGGTAAGGTGCATAAAGAATCTTGTATGCCCATTAATTCCTCCATGTGAACCTATTTACTTTGGTAAATATCTCTTTCTTTTGAAACCTTGCTCGAAGGAACACCTGGACTTGGTTTCACTAAGAAAAATGGAAGAAAGGACCCTCCAGCAGTGTCAGTCACAAGGCAAACAGATTTATGTGTACACCAGTGGTTGTCAGACAAATACTTCAAGAATGGCGGTTGTGTGTCTACATCTGGTAGCCTCAATGGAGAGAGTACAAGGAAGAGCATTAGGTCGGGATACATCAATTTTCAATTATATGGCTGAAATGAAAGTTATTCTCAGGGCATTCAAAAAGGAAAAAAAAAGCAGAAATAGAGGTGGATTTTTCTCATGATTGTTGACTTGCAAGAAGCAATCCTCAGTTCCTTTTCAAGAAATCAGAATGCTATCAACAATACAGTTCATAAGGAGGCTCAGAGGATCAGAGAGCAAGGCAATAAATTGATTTTTTTTCAATGGATTCCATCACATGTTGGTATATATAGAAGTGAGGGAGCCAAACTTAGAAGCTCAGAAACTCGGGTAGGAATGACAACGATCAAGGATATTAACACGCTATCAAGGAAAATATTAGCTGAAATAAATGGTCAAAAAATAAAATATCCATAGATTTATATTAAAGCATCTTGGAAAATGACATTTGCTATCATGAGACTGTGGACAAGACACTCCACAGGAATGAAAACCAATAGAGATGGGACCAAGATATATATTCTAGAAGTTGTGTTGGGAGTAGACTTTAACACCTCGCCATGCTTTTGAACATAACATTGCAAGTAAAAGGATGTTCATTGGATCAAGCCCTTCCACAGGACCCTGTACAAGTCACCAAACTCATTCTTGAACTTCAGGGCCTGACATGATTGTGGGACAAGAAAACAGCTGCAACAATGTTAGGACAGATCCTCTTCCGGTGTAAATTGGAATAGCTATGTGGTGCTAAGATGATTTACACCCTCTGAGGAACTGGTCCATTATTTTTAAATGTTTTCTTGCTAAGGTGCTGTGCCTAGCAAATGGGCTTTTATGGGTGTGGCGTTACAGTCTATATGATTTTATAAAAATATGCTAATGAGCGAATATAATGTAACTGGAATATGCTTCATGCAAAAGGTCTCTTGTAAGGTATCATTACAAAGCTTATAATCTACTGAGTGTGATCATCCTATTTGTATAAATGTACCACTCTTGTATCTGAAACTAGAAATATGAAATATAACTTTGAGGGCCTATTGTAATTATGCAAAGTGTGGGCCATTAATGGTGGTTTGGAATCTTGACTCCCATTAACCAGGACAATTGTCTGCAGATGGGTGTGTTTTACCTGTAAGTCTTCCTGTATACGTGTGTGCTGGCAAGTGGGTAATGAAGTCTTGCAGTGACATGTGATCATGTCTCCTGAACTGGAATCCATCTTTAACCTGGTGTCTTTCCATTGAGAAGGAGGGGGTGGGAACCCAGAGAGGGACAAAGGATTCCCGCCTTATGCAAAAGATTATATAAATGCGTGGAACAGAACAAAGGAGGAGGAGCCATCATGAAGAATCCCCTAGCTACCACCTGAGCTGCAACAAGAGCTGTACCGGGGAAAGAATTGTGCCCAGGCCTGGAAGGTGTCCAGTCTGAGAAAAAATTACTAAAGCATCTCTGAGGGTGAGATTATCTGTATTCAGTTTGATTAGACATAGATTTGAGCATTTTATTTTATTTTGCTTGGTGACTTACTTTGTTCTGTCTGTTACTACTTGGAACCACTTAAATACTACTTTCTGTATTTAATAAAATCACTTTTTACTTATAAATTGACCCAGAGTATGTATTAATACCTGGGGGAGCAAACAGCCATGCATATCTCTCTATCAGTGTTAAAGAGGGCGAACAATTTATGAGTTTACCCTGCATAAGCTTTATACAGGGAAAAATGGATTTATTTGGGTTTAGACCCCATTGGGAGTTGGGCATCTGAGTGTTAAAGACAAGAACACTTCTGTTAGCCGCTTTCAGGTAAACCTGCAGCTTTGGGGCAAGTAATTCAGATCCTGGGTCTTTGTTGGAGCAGACGGGAGTGTCTGGCTCAGCAAGACAGGGTGCTGGGGCCCCGAGCTGGCAGGGAAGGCAGGGGTAGAAGTAGTCTTGGCACATCAGGTGGCAGCTCCCAAGGGGGGTTCTGTGATCTAACCCATCACAATGGGTTCTCACCAACACATTCTCTCTTAAACACCTCCTTCCTCCCACTAGGCCACAAACTTTCAGCTGAATAGTAAGAGTTGTGAAATAAGGCAAGCTCTGTGAACACTTTGTTGTAAAAATGCTAGAGTATTCTACACTAATGCAATAATTATTGTGAACTGTGCCGTTTGGGATTATGACTATATAATAGTGCAGTACGTTTTTTTGTTTTGTTTTGTTTTTTATAAAGAAATGGGTCAGGTCTGACATACTCACATCTCTAGATAAGTGCACAGTGGTGTTTAGGGTTGGCACCTCTGAAGGTAAGTTGACCTAGAAATGTATGTTATGGCATACATTTAGAAGTTTCCCAGTACGCATACAAAAAGCCAGGGTACTAATCAGCAAAAGTGCCAGTTTGAGAGAGACCATTTTTATAAGTCGACTCAGCAGAAAATTGCATTTGGTGCGTGTGTGTGTGTGTTTACTTCTTATAAGAAATTATCATTTTATGATCAGTCTTTGTTCATATATTCATGCATCTAAATTCTCACTTAAGTTTGCAGTGTAAATAGATACAAAAATTCAACAAGTCAGCTTTGGTAGCTTCAAAGGAGAATTAATAATAATAATAAAAAGGTTATATAACACTGTAATTTTAACAGGATAAAGCTGTGAGAGGTTTCCATAGTAACACAGCTGATAGCAATTGACTTGCCCTGGCATCTGGACATGTTTAGGGCTTATGATGTGACTGCAGGCAATACTAGAAGATTAGATTAAAAACATGATTGATATGAAGTTCAGAAATAACACAGCATCCTTTTGTTAGGAAAAAAATACAACCATTTCCAATGAAGTTTGTGCAATTCTGGAGTGACAATTACAGGCTTGTGAAGGTTGCTAATTGAGACTCTGTCTACATTATTAGTGTAAACTATTTTCGGCTATACTGTAGCCAAACATGACTGTAACATGCTTTGTGTTCATACACAATACTGTTGCAGACTGGGTTACCCCCACATTCAGAAAGCATGCTAAAATTTTGCAAAGAAGGTAGATTATATAGCCTGTCTTTAAATAATCCCTGTCCACAGCTGTGTCTACCTTGGTGTTAAAACTGTGCATGCTACAATAGAACTGGAAAACAGCTAGGAAATGGTTGTCCAGAAAAGTTCTGGAAGAAATGTACTTGTCATCTGTTTTCCAACAGGTCTTGCAGTTAGTACAGTTTTACTCCTCCTGTCTAGAGGGCCTTAGTGTTAAATCCTATCTACACTGAAGAAAATACCAGGTATGGGGAGCCAGTTACATCATAGTCATTTTTTTTAACTCAGTTAAAACCTAACACATCTGAGTACCTTGTGAAAAGATCTGAGGCCCCTATTCAGCAAAGCACTTGATCACATTCTTAACTTTTAACTTTAGGCATGTGTTTGAGCCCCATTGAATCAGACCTTAAAGTAGGTTGTGGGTATGTCTACACTAGAAACCCTACAGCAGCATGGCTACAGATGCGCCGCTGTGGTGTGGACAGTTACTACAGCAATGGAAGAGATTCTTCTGAGAGGCTTAACTATGTTTCACAGGGCGTGAAATTTTTCATAGCCCTAAGCAATGTAGTTAAGCCAACCTAACTTTGTAGTGTAGACCAGCCCTTGTTGGTTAATTGGGAAAAACAATACGTTCTGTGCAACAACATCTCTTTCTTCACTGTTCAGTTAAATGAATCACTGTCCAATGAGCATCAAAAAGAGTCTCTCATTTTTGAGAATCCCAAGAGGAAAATATGAATTAAATGTTGTTGGGTTATGGGGAGGGGGGACGAAGACAGTTGTAGCCAGCTATAGGAAAAGTTTGAGATTGCTGTAATCCAGAAGGTCAGCAGTACTCTGGGGAAGGTACTTATCAAAACATTTTCAAAGCTAACATTACTGTGAGAATAACCATAAAAAAATAATAATGGAGCTCTTCAAATTCCCAGCATGATAATGGTGATGAAGAGGGAGGAAAGGATTAATGTTCTTAGTTCTAAGACCACGCTGACTTGTTGCTCTGATACTGTGTTGTAATAAGAATGGTTTGTTTTGCCAGACAATATCTGAATAAGCTTCCATATATTATGCCATTAAGCTTCAGCTATTCATTTTGTTGCATCCAGTATATGCCCTGCTTCCATTAAATGTTATTAATGCATACTTTTCTGTTGCCAAAAACTCTAAATTAATGTGCTGACCATATTTCCTTTTTAGCAGGAGACTGTCACAGCAGGTGAAAAGGAGACAACTGGGATTGCTGAGGAAGAGAGTGAGGTAAATATGAACAGCCGTAGGAGGGCATATGTTCTTTAATATCTCAAGAAAAGTGTCACAAAGTTGTGTGTGTTGGTTTTTTGTTTCCGTGTTATGAATATGTGCTAGCTAGAACATCTGTCAATTCAGCTGAGACCTATTTTAGAACCTATCTGTTGCAGTGGTATACTACCGGGAAATCCCACTATAACGCGCCCTCTGATAACACGAATTGGGCTATAACGCGATCATAAGGTGGCTCCCGCCGCCCCAAGCGCGTCAAAAAAAAAAAAAAAAGACACCGGCCGGCGCGCCACCGAAGCACAAAACAAACAAAAAACGCCGAAGCACAAAACAAACAAACAAACAAACAGAAAAGCTGCCAGAGTGCCGCCGAAGCACAAAAAAAAAAAGCTGGACCGCCGCCGAAGAAAAACAAAGAAAGGAACATGCCTTCCCCACTGCCTCTTCCCCTCTACCCTTGCTTCTCCTTTTGGTGGGAAGAGCCATTCTCCTCCCCAGCTGCTCCTCACTCTTCCTCTGCCCCTTGCACATCTCCCCTGCTCTCCGCCCAAGAGAAATTGACCGGCTTGAAACTGACCGGCTTTAAATGGTAAAACTTTCGTAACCCCGCTATACCGTGACCCCGCATTTATCGCGATCGAATTTTTGGACCCCAATCATCGTGTTATAGCGGGGTTTCACTGTATCATAAATATTTTAGGACAGGTAAGAATGTGGTTATGTGGTAGAAGGTGATATAATGTTGTTTCTATTGACATTCAGAATGAACAGAAAATATGCTGCCATGGAGTTTGAATGGCATTAACACTTCCTGTGGATTTGTTTGTCTGGGCTCCTAATAGTGTCTTTTTTTAAAAAATTGCTTTCATTCATCATTCCATTTTTCTAGCATGCTAAGCCCTAAACTGAAACAGAAGTTTGAATATAATTATCTTACAATTTTATTTTCTAAAGCACAAATTGGGCATTTTATTAGATATGGTTAAAAACAACTAAATAAAAAGTTTAATGAAATATTGAATTTCTCTTTAAGATCAGGTACCCTCTGATCGACTGTTTGTTTGTTTTAGGTTATGTTCTCATATGTGTGAGAGAACATATACTATTTATTCTGGATCCTTGTTTACTAAAATGAAACCTTGACAATGTATTTTAAATTATGGTGAGAGTAACATAAGGATTTCAGCACTAGTGACTGGAAATTAAATTCAGAAATAGGAAAAAGGGTTGAAAAATAAGGAAACTGTAAACTCCGGTAACTACTCAATTTGGGTCCAATCCTGCAAGATGTTAACTACCTCTCTTTTTATAAGTTTCTGAACTTTGGTATGTAAGTATTTGCTAAAATATCATAGACCAATTCACTACTCATTCTGGTTTTAGATTATTGTAACTCCAATGGGCCAAATTCTGCTCTCAGTTATGCTGGTGTAAATGTGAAGTAAATCTACTACCATCAGTAAAGTTACTCCAAATTTATGCCAGGGTAACTGAGGGTAGAATTTGGTTCATTGACTTCACCAAAGTTGCTACTGCAGTGAATGGAGAATCAAGCCCTGAAGTGTAATGCTGATTTTTTTCCCATTTAAACAGAAACTTATAGGCCCGATTCACCACTGCATTATTCCAAATTTACACCAGCATAGCTGCATTGAAATCAATGGAGTTACACAGGCATGACACTGGAGTAATATAGTGGTCAATCAAGCCCTACTTCTTTAAAACTGAGGGTTGAAATAATAACAAATACAACACCATCTTTCTTCTAGAGCATTTGGCTTGTCACTCTTGATATGTCTGTTCCAGTATCTTGTATTCAAGAAATCCCTTACTGTCCACAAAGTGCAAGCTGACTAATGTCTTCAAAATGTAACTGTTCATCAAGCTCTCTAATATAGTGTATATGTAAACTCAACCTCTCTTGCCTGGCACATTCACCCCTCACACATATGCATCAAATCTCATATTTAAATGGGCAATATTTGTTCAATTCATAACAGCTGCGAAACTCTATCCATCGAGTCTTGTATCCTGCCTTCAGCAGAAGGTGGTATGTGATGCTTGAGAGAGAGACCCATGCACTTTCACCATTATTTGTTTAGCAAATTGTGCAGTACATGGGAAATCCATCCAGACCTCTGCAGGCAATGGATTTATTTCCTAAAGCATGAGCTTTAGTTCCCCATAGCATTATATTAGCTTGCTTAGCTACAATTATAATTAACTATCATAAAAATTATCCAGTCCCTTTTTAAATCCAGCTATTGAGGCCAATCTTAAGTTAGTGAAAACTGGCATGCACTATTCAAGTCAAACATTATGGACTAGATCTTATTAACTCATAGACTTCCCCCAGCAGTAAATACCTTGGGCCGTGTTTCTCCTCTTACTTACACTTCTTTTGTATGCAGGAGGGTTTGTTTACAATATGAAATCAGGTAGCATATGTAGATTTACAAATACCTGTATTATTCACCACTGCTATCTAGGGTGAAATCATGGTCCCAGTGAAGTAAATAGGAATTTTGCCATTGACTTAAATGGAGGTAGGATTTCATCCTAAATAGCCATGGGGCTAATCCAAGATTTTGAGATATGATAGAGAGAAATGGTTTCATTTTTGCCACTTACCCTGGTAATATCGACAAAAACCCATATTTATGATTTTCTTTCTTTTCTTGTTATAGTCTGTCACAAGAATGAATTATCATTTCATTTTGATGCATGCTGTACATATGGTGACTTATGACAAAGGGCTGTCAGAGTCTGACTGTTTCAGTGTACTGTATTTTAGGACTGATATTTGTAAAATTAGAACACGCTTCCTTCATGGAAAATGGACTGCACAAATCCAATAAAGAGAAAAGAAGTGTTGATTCCGATCCCATCAGATAGCAGGATCAATTTCTGTAGAATTTTGTAGAAGCATAGTGTATAAAATCAATCTAATATGCACTGCCTCCCCCATCTCTCCTCCATTAGCTTCTCTCTGGGTTTTTACAACTATTGTTTATTTAAATCTCTTATTGAAGCAAGACTGCTGAAATTGGTAATACAAGGAAGGCCTGACCTGATGTCTTTACTCACAAGTCCCAGGATGTTTGCTGGTATAATTTGACCTGGCTGCCCGTTAAAGCTGTATATACTTGATTCTGTGTCAAATGCAATTAAAATTAAAGTCTCTCTATAAATTCACACAATATATTTTAGCTTTTCTTATCTTCTGTAAAGAAAATTGGAAAAATTTGTTTACCAGTCTCATTAAGAGTTAATGATGGCAAGGACCGGTGTAATATCCAGCAATGATGGCAGCCAACTCAGATTGGATGTGATCAACCTTATCCATGAAGCAGATATTTGATCTGAGGCAACAAGGATTATCAGACTCTTAGCCACCAAAGCCAATTCTGCTAAATGCAACTTGTTAGATGCAGTGGTGGAGGGGAAAGTGAATCATTTTTACCCCCAATTTCACTATGGCATGATAAACAGAAATACCATAATGAAGCTGCTTGGATGTGGCATATGAGTTTTCTATTTGCCGAGCCCCCAAAGCAGATGACACTAGCTGGGAAGGGGATGTGGCCGGGCATCCATTCATTATGTTCCATGGAGAGTTTTCACTGCTGGGTTCCTATAGAGCCGCAGCCCTGTTGAAAGTGGCCCTTCTCCAGCCAAACCCATGTGTAAAGCGCAGTGTAAACCCATTCTCGTCTCTCCTAGAGGCAAATCCTCCAGCAATGCAGCTTTAAGGCAAATGAGCCCTCAAACTCTGCTCTAAAACTTTTTTTTTTTGTATTGTAGTGTGTGTTTTATATCTGTGCCCAGTAAGGAGCCATCCCAATATGCAGCCGTATGCCTTTAATCCATTTTTATTTTAGTTAATGCCTTAGGAAACCCTCCCTGAAGAAGTAACTTTTGTCGATGCCACTAAGTATACCAAGGAAGCATCGTAACAGGTTTTTCCCATCTTTAATCATAAGGTACAGAATAGCATCTAACAGCATGAGTCTCTTTGTATTTACTTTGATGTAAATACAGAGACACTCCATTGAAATCAGTGGCATTACCTTGGTATAAAACCAGTGTGGGATCATAATAAAGCCCACTGCATTGTCTAATGGATCTAAATAAGCGAATTAATGCCAGTTTATATCTATCTAGCTATCTATCAATCAAAGCCTGGAGCTCTTTAAAGTGGCCTGGGTACAGTTGGTGAATAGCTGTTGTCCAGAATGATGGATGTGGCTGAACGGTTTCCATTTTCTGTTGGCTGTAGATGGTAGCTATAACTGAAGATGCAGGTGCAGTTGAAAATGCTGTTGTAACTGAAGCCAGTGAAGGTGCTGCTGCAGCTGAAACAGCTGATGAAGGTGACAAACCTAAAATAGAAGAGAAGGAAGCAGTGGTGGCTCAGGTAAGATGTTGTCGGGATGCTTTCTGAAGCACTACACAAGAGAAAATATTGGACTGTTCATGTCTCCTGGCCTGAGTTACCACAACACCCTTTCTCGGGAGAGCGATGACTTATCTGTCCATATTGGCCCCCATTCTGCTTTAAGTGACACTGGTATGAAGTAGCACCACTGACTTCAATGGAGCTATGCCAGTTTATACCAGCTGGGAATCTGGCCCAGTGTGCCAAAAATCATTTCTGATGACTTTACAATTGATAGATACTTCTCAGATGTGTTCTGGGGTTTATAACAGGCTCAATCCTAAAGATAAGCAGAAGCTATTTCATTCCATTAGCTATACATCTGGAGAGCAGTGGCTTGTTAAACAGAGCTTTGAGACTCTTCAGATGTGTTTTTTATCTAACTGCTCTTTTTTCCCCCAATGATAAATAAGATCAAGTGCACTGGTGTTCAGAGATGCTGAGCACATGTAATTAGTCAATAGGAGTGGTGAGTGCTCAACGGGGGAGATTTTCAGAGGCACACAGGGTAGCAAAGGCCTAACTCCCACTTATTCCCATTGGGAGTTGGGTACCAAACTGCTCTTCGTGCCTCTGAAAATCTCCCTCTACGCCCTCCTGGCACCTGTGAAAGTTAGGCCTTGAATCCCATGCAACTCTAGAAGAAATAAATTGCAAGGATATTCTAGTGTGTGGTCAGGCTGGCTTCCAGCTTTTCAGCAACTGGAGACCAAAGAAAAGACCCCAAGTGGTACTCTGGCACTCTAGGGATCAAGGACTTCCATGTCACAATTACCTTAGGCTCTTCACATCTGTTTGTTTCAATCACGCTCCTGTTGTCTCAAGCTCTTCAGGTTGTGGATTGCTTTTTGTTATGTGCTTATGCAATGCCTCACACAATGAAGTTGAGGCCCCTAGGTCCTACCACAGTACAAATAATTAATAATAATCAGAACAGTCCCTGACCCATCAATACAAACTCTCTCTTACTGTAGGGTTCGGGGGTATGTTTAACCCAGACTATATAAAATAAACAATTGATAGACCTGGTCATCCTCTGTTCTACCTGCTTCCCCATGGGGGGTTGGGAGAAGAGGTACAGATTGAGATTTGGGAAACTCATTTACATAACCTCTCTCACACACACACACACACACACATATTAATGAACAATGCTACAGAATTGGGGGAGAGGTATTTCCCTTGAGCACCAGGCTGAATTGATATGTTGGCCAGGTGAATAGCTGGCCAATGTGGTCTTTAGCGGGTTGCACACCCCAGACAGCTGCCTAAAATCCTATCTGAATAGGGCTCTTCTATTAACATGATTGTAATGAGCTTCAGGTGGTCTCTTATGTCGTTTATGCTGGTGTAAATCAGGGAAAACTTGAATTGGTGTTTAAACTATTGCAAGTGAATATAGTGTGCCTGATTTTGATCTCCCACAAAATTTACACTAGTGTTACTTCACTGACGTAAGTGGAGTTACTTCTGATTTACGGCAGTGTTATGGCCTGATCCAAAGCACTTTGAAGTTAGTGGAAGTACTCCCATTAATTTCACTGGAAGTTGGACAGGGGCCTAAGTGAAAACAGAATAAAGTGCAGAGTGTTTTATCATCTGCTATGGTGACAGTTATAATCCATGGGGAGTAAGATAGAGAATTGACATGGGGAGGAATGGAGACCGGCAGTCACAAACTGGGAGGATATTATCCCCTGGATGCACTAGCATAGCTCTCGTCAGTGAGAAGATCAGCTGTGCACGAGAGGAAAATACATCTGTATTTTCTCTCATAAACAGAAAAGCAAATAAATAAAAGTTTTGTTTCATACTTTTTAGAAATAAAAACGAGGAGTCCTTGTTGCACCTTAGAGACTAACCAATTTATTTGGGCATAAGCTTTCGTGGGCTATAACCCACTTCATCAGATGCATGGAGTGAAAAATAGAGTAGGCAGGTATAAATATACAGCACATGAAAAGATGGGAGTTGCCTTACCAAGTAGGGGGTCAGTGCTAACAAGGCTAATTAATCACGCTCATAACATTTCTCTCTTTTTCTGATTTTTTTTTTCCAGGAGAAAGTCAGCAGCATCCCTTCACTAGTAATAGAGCCAGCATCAAACAACGAAGGGGAGGGAGAGGAGCATGAAGTCATAGTGAATGAATCCGAAGATGTTGTGGAAGACGTTGGCACTCAGGGCATTGAAAGTGATGCCAGTGAACCTTCCCAGGTTGTAAGTGAGCAGAAAACCATTGAAGAAATCCAAACTACATCCTCTGAAGAACCGCCTGTGTCAGCGGATGATGCAGCCCATGGAATGCCACCTGGCTTTCTCTTTAAGGTCTACTTGAGTATTTAGTCACTCTTATTTTAAACATTCCTTTAAACCTAGCATCAAGTGTAAGTAAGTATATCCAGGGGCACAGTTTATTTAGGCTGACAGCTATGTAGTTAAATAGCAAAAATGTCAAGCTGTTTTTCCTTGAATTGTTTTTTCTACATAAAGGGGGAAATACAACTTTACTTGTACTGTTCTTTATGTGCAACATGATCCTGTAGAATTATGGCGTTCAGTCAAATGTGCAAGTACACTAATCTAATCAGAGCAGTGAAAATATTGTAATATGTTGGGAGAATTTCTATGGCCTGCATTATGCAGCAGGTTAGACTAGATTATCAAAGTGTTCCTTTCTGGCCTGAAAATCTACCAGTGCAATCATGGCCCCATTGAAGTCAATGAAACTTTTGCAATTGACTTCAATGCAACCAAGATTCCACATATTATTAGAGTAGCTTTTAACGTGATCATGTTGAAAAGCATTATATTTCAGTGGGCAGGTCTGAGAAATTCTGCCTTAAGTGTTTGTTGCCTGCCAAGAACCTTTGTGTTTCTTGGTTCCCAGGTACCTGATATTTCTTATTTCAAAATGATTGACTAGTAGATAAGCTGAGCGAAGATGAATGAAGTTCATGTGCTCTGTATTATAATTTGGATAGTTCAGTCTAACAAGTCCCATAGCAAGCCATGGTTATGCCCAATTATTTTGGATGTTTTTTTTCTGTTCTCATGCACAAATGTTCTTTCAAACTTCAAAAATAACAGGTCAGAGTGAGATGTCATGTGACTATGACTTAAGACACACTGACAGTGTTCCTCTATTTTTCACCAAACTCTCGTGAGTTAAGTGAGAATGCACATTACCATTCCTGGCTTTGCTGCAGTGATGCCATGGGATTAGTTGCCATCAAGGAAACTAGAATAGGGCATCTACTTATGGAGATGGAATTATTTAGTTAAAGAAACAGTTTAGCTGTGCAAACAGATTATCTTGTCAATAATTACTAGTTGAAGTGAGAAATATCATAGCCCTAATTTACCAGCAAACAAGAGTGCTTTCCAGTCCACACAGCAGGATTCCCATTACCCACACCTTTAACTGACCACTGGAATTATACCATTTTCCTCACTATTATTTACAGGGAGGATTGCTTCAGGAATAAGATCAAAAGCCCAGAACCACAGATCTCGCTAGGGCATTAGCATCACTTTAAGTCCCTACTCAGTTTGCCTAAAATAGGATGGCCAAATCCTTTCACCCTTCCTTGGGAAAGCCTCCAGTGATGCCATTCTATGAATAAGGACAGCAGGATTTGCCCAAGCTGCAGTACTTACGGGATGTTGCAGCATCACCGATCCTCCAGATCCCTGTGAGCTGAGGGGACCCACCTGTCATTGAAGGAATGAGTGAATACATTCATATTTAATATGTGAATTCCTTCATGGAAGAGAATAGAAAAACATGGAATTAACAAACATATCAAACAAAAAAAAATGGAGTGTATGTGCAATGATATCAGTTGAAAGAGAGACAATGCCATGGCAATGTGTTTGAGAGTTTGAAAGAACAGTACAGGTGCACATTGTTAAATGTGAGTCGCGAAAGAGATAATTTGTTTCTACTTAATTTTTCTTAGTACTTTCCCTAGATGACATCCTCATGTTTTTTATTTTTTTCCTTCAGGTTGAAGCGCTACATGATTTTGAGGCCGCTAATACTGACGAACTTAACTTAAAACGAGGAGATACTGTACTAGTAATCCCTTCTGAGGCCACAGATGACCAGGTAAACAACCGAGGAACCATTTCTTTTGCTATTTTTCTTTTCCTGGAGATATTTCTAACAGTCTAGAGTTGTTAACAAATGCAGTCACTTAAAATGTCACTGTTAGAACATACAAAGACTAAAACTGTCTTTACTTCATTTTCATCTAAGAGTAAAAGGCAATGTTGATTATAACCTGGAAATGCAGTAGACGTATTGATGGTATGATTTAACCTTCATTATGGACCAACATTTTTCTAGATTTAATTTGGCTGCTTTAAATCATGGTTTTACTTCTCTCTCTCACACACACACTCATTTACACATAGTAGATGCATACAAATAGTGCATTAGGTCACTATAAATCTTGTTTTAACATTGCAGCAAAATTGGTAGTCTAGTGTCTGGAGCTTATACATATAGATTTGAACAGATCAGATCAATACAAATTAGGCCATAGAGCATTATGCTCACAAATTGTGTAACCTTACAACCAATTTATGTGTAGTAACTCTGTAGTTTTAACTCTTCCCTCTGGAAGTCTAAATCTCCTACAGTATTGGTTCTGGAAATATCAACTTCTACTAATCCTGCAGTTTCCTACCTAGGCAAAAGACCTGGCAGCCAAACCTCCAGTGGTATAGGCTGTGGAGGACCAGGCCCCCCAAAAAGTGTTCATGTTGTTGATAAAAGATTGGCAACAGAGCTTTAATTTTGTTGGAACATGCAAAGATGTTTTAATTTCATTGAAATGTTAAACATTTGCAATAGTACAATAAAATGTTTTTTAAATAGAAGACACAGTTTTATACTCTAAACTTTGGCCTCATCTAACGCCCATTGAAGTCAATAGAAAGACTCCCAAAGGATAAGGCCGAATGAGATCATTGCTCCAGATCACAATTTGATTTGAACAAAAAGCTTTCTTCAGCTTTGCTTGAAACATAGATCTACCCCCCGCTTCTTCCATAGGCAGTGGAGAAATGATTTTACCTTTTCAAAGGGTTCAAGGAAGGTACTGCACCTATTTTACCAAGCTTCTTATTGTTGGGTAGTTCCCCATTGGTAGGGGACGATATGAAGAACGTGCCTCTATTTCTGTCATTTTGAGGCCTGATCCTGCAAGTAAGTAGTGCTGGGAATATTCCTTACCACCCTAAATAATCCTATTGTCTTCTATGGGACTATTCAGAATGTTAAGCACTATTCCTGACAGCACGTTTGCAAAATTGGGTCCTCCTAATATTCCTTTTAAGAAGTGCTAATGTTATCAACTGATCTCTTGCTTTAAGATACGAGCAGGATAAGTTATCTGTTTTACATTTCTAGTATACTGTACTGGATGCTTTTTCAGCATGACCCTACGTTCTTCTTATAAAGCTAGATTCTGCTATCCTGATTCAAGTTGAGTAGTACCTTATTCCATGTGCAGTCCCATTTACTTCAATGGCATTATTCACAAAGTAAGGTACTAAATGTGAGGATGACAGAATCAGGCTCAAAGATACTTAGGCCCTTAGCTTCCATTGAAGTCAATAGAAGTTAGGCACTGAAATACTTCTGAGGGTCTGGGCCATATTCCTTAGCTCTTTTTTCTTGGAGTATTAAATATAAGCTTTGTCTTTTCTGGGCTAATCTATAAAGGTATATTATTCTCTTCTTGTTTGCATGTAAATCCCATTAGCATTAATTGGAGTAAATTGTGTGTATTGATGGAGAAAATATATTCATGTTTCTGAATTCAGTTAGCATCTATTATTATTCAGTGCACATTTACCCTTCATGTTTATCATCATTGTTAAACTTAATATAATACCACACTAGTGAAGGACAAAAAAGATTGAGTTTTTTCTTTTTTTTATCTCCGCTCTTCACTTTTCCTCCTTCGAAAGTGGCCTGTCTAAAGCCATATTTCTTGTATATTTGGTAGTATCGATTCATAGTTTCAGATCATATCAAACAAGAACACTTTGTGCTTGTTTGATACTGGTGACTCCACTTTTTCTAATATACTTGAGTTGAATTGATTAAGATAAGTTCTAGTCAGCACCTGTTCCTAGCAGAATCTGCCTCCTCCTATGATCAGGAAGCTGTCATTTACTACTGCTCCTTCTGTCTCAATCATGCCACATGCTTGAAAGATATTTTCTCAGTTAAATTCACCCTGGTTTATTTCACTGCCAGTTTAAAACGTTGTTATTCTTACCTGCTTCAGTGGTACTCAATCCTGATTAAATTAGAAAGCCATTTCACCCCTGACTAGAAGCTTCAGAAAGCCATTGAATAATCACAATTTGATGTAATTTTGTGTTGTGTTGAAGTTTTATCAAAAGCATTCAACCTCTACATGTACACCCTGAGAAAATAATCCCAATGCAATATCAGGAGTTTCCACCATATCTCATTATTTTGTGACTGTCTGGATCATATTCTTAAAAATAGCCCCTAATTTGGGACCTACACTATTCTGGATTCAGTTAAGTGTGCCCACCATTTTGCAAGTACAGTCACTTGTAGGCAAAAATGATTAAAATTAAATGGCCAGGATACAGACACTTGCATATGCAGATAAGGCACCTCAATCCCTTTGTGGATCTAGCCCTAAACCTTAACGTCCAGATGTTAGAGCTCAAAAAACTCCACTTAGCTGCCCACTAACCTTGTAGGCACTTAGGTTTCTGTCAGGTGAAGTCCCCTACGTGCCTACATTTCTGGTTGTGTGCACAACCACCTTACACCCACTGCCTAATCCCTCCGGCCACAATTTTGCCTGAAGGGTCTGATTTGGTGGACTTGCTCAGAGACTGCCAGAGTGCATGTCTATCGGATTGGGCCCCATACAAAACACAGTAGGAGGATATTGTCCTCTTATAGCCCATAGCCTGGTGGTTAGAGTAGTCCCACACAATATGGGAAGAGTCATGTTCAGATCTCACCTGTCCCTATCTGAGATGGAGCAGGCACTTGAAGCCACATCTCCCACCTAAAGCCAGTGGTTGAGGCACTTAGAGTCACTCTCTGGCCCAATGAATATTTATTTATACAAAGTGGAACAGTAGAGACAGAGAGACCCCACACCAAAATATCCCCTAGCCCAGGGTGAAGGCACTCTCCTGGGAGGTGGGAGACCTGTGTTCAAGTTCCTACTCCAAATCAGGCACAATGGGGATTTGACCGTAGGTCTCCCACCACTGAGCTATGGCTATAAGAGACCACCTCTTCTCTCTCTTTTTTTATTTTGTGAAAGCATGCAGAGCTTCGCTGCTGTAGTGAGTCCAGTGTAAACTAGCCCTTACTCCCTTGCTGGGGTAGGGCTTAGGCCACACACCCCTCTTTGGCATTTCCTGCTGGCTGGCTTGGGGACGTCAGCATGCTGGTATTTGTGAATCCCATTCCTAGGGGTCAGGCTCTCCTCCTTCACTGTATAGGAAGCCTGGGTGCCTAACTAGGGGCTGTGGATTCCACTCGGCAGAAGGATGCCTAAAGTTAGGCACTGCAATTCTATGTCGTCTGTGTGGGTCTTGCCGCTATAGTCTAACATGTGAAACAACAACAGTGTAGTTGCAAAGTTATATGGTAGTTGAAGACACTGAAAATTTGGCCCACTATCTCCTTTTTCCCCTCCACCCCATCTATTTTTGTCTCTTTTGTGGATGCTGGGACAGGTCTCAACGTCTCCCCTCTATTTGCTTAGCAATCTCTGCTGCCCTAAGTTATAGGAGCAGTTCAATATACTGTATTTCATGGACCTCTTCATGGTCAATTGAACTGCTTCATGTTAGCTGACAGTGTGGACACTGCAGCTCAGGGGGCTAGGCCAAGTCTCCACTGGAGCTGCAACATCCACAGTGCTATTTAACATGCTAGCTGGAGCATAGCTAAAGTATGATGTCTACCCAGGCTGGGAGGTTCAGCATTGTCCCAGCTGCAGCATTGACCTAGCCAAAAAGATTTGGAGCTGAGAGCAGAGGATATATTTTGAAAGACATTTAATTAATTTTATTATAAGCAGAGTGGGTTAGCACCACGGAAAGTTAAGTTTCCCCAACACTGGCCCCTGTAAGACCCTGCTTTCAGTTAATTAATTGCCAAACTGTAATAATTTGGTGTGAAGTTTTCAGTGCCAGATGTCTGCCTCAGCCTGGATATTTGGAAAAGTTTCAAGTAATGGGTACGTGGTTTGGGGATCTTAGAGTACTTTAATAGTGGAAGAGCCAGGAACTGTTGCCACCACCAACTTCCACTATAGGAACCACAGTGAACTATCCTGCATAAAAAGAGGAGAATTTAGGGTGATTGGAAAGGAAAAACATGTATTTTCTCTAGCTTGTTGGGGTTAAAAGGTCCCCCCCCCTACACACACCCCTAATATTAAACACTATGAATTTTAAAAGGACCTTAACACATCCTCCAATTTTGCACCTTTAAAATGCTGTCTGCCTATAAACTCTCCCTTTTACCTTGCAGGAGGCTGGCTGGCTGACAGGCATTAAAGAATCGGATTGGCTGCAGTACAGAGATGCAGTAACCTATAAGGGACTTTTCCCAGAGAACTTCACAAAGCCCTTGGAGTAGTTCTCAGCTCAGGCATAACAGTGTTATAAGAAGCTCAGTCAGTAGGTTTTTAAATCTCTTTGAAACACAGGAACCCACTTTTGTAGTTAAACTGCTAATGGTTTACAGACTGGTGCCAGACAAAGCTTGGTGAAACATATCAAATGAGCATGAATGCAAACAGTTAAGTTAGCATCGTCTGAAGCAGTATATGAAAAAAATGTATTAAGAGAAATGTCCCTATTCGTTCACACGTATGTGGCAACAGGTTTGTTTGTGCGTTGTCGGAGCTATGGTGATCCTGTATTTGATCCTTTCCCATGAAATCTAAAATTAGCCTCCTCACTACGAGAACCTTAACTTCTCTGCACTAAGTGTATTGTATTGACTTGCTGCACTACAGAAGATTTTATTAGTAATCCTTTAGTAATGAGGTCAAATTATTAAGTTACGTGTTTAAAAAAATGAACTGCTGCAAAGTTTTTCAATGTTTTTTTGAACATATATACACATATATGCTTGTGTGTATATAAGTGCATACAGATACATATGCATTAACATGTTACCCTCCATTGTAGTTCTTTGACTCTGTAGTATCATTAATAGATGCATTGCTCTTACAAGGTCTGGCATTACAGTAAATAGCTTTGTTCCAAAACAAAGCTAGCTGCTCCATTGCCAAAACATTATACAGTATCTGTGTTTGTAATGTGAAATTTTCATTCTGAGATGAACGATTATAACTATCACATTCAAAGCTGCTAAAACATTGGAAGGCATGGCTCAGTCTCCTCTATTTCTAGCTGCAATAGTTTGAGATTGTGTGGATAGAGTGGTTATAATGCTAATCTATACTTTAATTGGCTGAATTATGAAAACAAAAAATATCTAAGAAGGACAAAAACAAACAATATATTTTCACTATATGTATTTATGCAGCACACCTTCACAGATCCTTTTAAAATAAGGTATATAATGTATCCTGTATCAAGAAATCATCTGTAAACTATTATGTTTTTCAGTGTTGTGTCATTCAAAATAAACCTTTGATCCAAAAGAAGCTGTTTTTGAGAGTGTTTTTGAAGTTTGGTTAAATTGGATGAATATAATCCTAACATAATTCCTCTCCCCCCCCCACCCCCCGCAAAGATATTCAGCACAACAGATACCCATATGTATGAGTTCTAGCACAAACTATCTCAGACTTGTTCTCCAAACAGAATTAATTTGTCTTAGAGCTCTAACCCCCAATTAGTTTCTGACCACGAATGAAGGCGCTTACCTGGGATTTGGTTAAGACACAACTGCAGTTGACATTTTCTATTCTGCACCCTTTGTCCATTTACTTTACTTTGAATCCAAATCTTTCATGAACTGCATTGTTTGTGGGGCTGTGTATCTTTAAGAACATATAGGATGTGCCTCAGGTTCCCTTTCGTGACATCTGGTTCCACATCCATTAATGGACTTGCTAGGACGCTTGATCTTGTAGCTCCCACAGGCCTAGAAGTCCTTGGCTTTGAGTGATCCAGAATAAGGGATCTCATTTGGGAACCAAAACTGTTCATCAGTTTTGCTCTGGTGCAGTAGACCCCAAATTCTGCTTCCACAAGTCTGAGGTGGTCAATGAGACCAAGTGTTGCTGGTGTATGTCACAGATTTGATGTCCTCATGCCCCACATTGCTTTAAATGGTGTTTGACATCTACACTTCATTAATTTTCTGTAAAACTGTAAAAAAAACAACAACTCTGAATTAAAGGGAGCATCCTCACCTCTTTCCTGGAACCACAGTTGTCCTCATCTCCTGACAACAAGGAGACTGAGGACTCCAGGCCCCGTTTCTTCAGAACAGTAGAGGAGATAAAAGAGGCAGGACGGCATAGTGATCAGTTGAATGTCTTAATTTAACCAATGCTGATTGCACTTTGTGCCTTGGAGGTGCTAAGTGCATCTGAGACTATATCCCATGCCATATATTTCAATGCCATTGGTATCTGGTATGCAGCCTACACAAGAATTTACACAAAGCACATAGATATTAAAACGGGAAAGGTCTGATCCAGAGTGAACAGCCATCATGGATACTTTGGCCCCACATAAATACTATGTGACTATTTTCTTCATCTTGCAATTTTGCCTCCCTTTTTAAAAGAAAAATGGCAGTTCATAAGTCAACAGGATACCAGAAATAGTAAGACCCACTAATGACGATACTCTAGTATCTAGATATGGATTATGTGCTGCAGGCAGCCAGAGTTACAGATGCAGAGGAAGGTTTCAGGTGCCTGCCTGAAGCGTGCCAGCCTCTGGCAAGTCTAATTTCAAATTAGCCCTGCCAGAGGCAGATGAAGGAACATCCAACCATCTGTGCACTATTACTGCTTGTAGTCCCGCAGGAAGGACTCAGAAGGTCTGGAGTAGAATCTGTCCAATAGCAGGAGTCCATCACCATTTCCTCTCCCGGACAGGGAAAAAGGTAGGGAAAGGCAGAAGTGGAAGGTAGTAACAGATGAGCTGCAGCATTTAAAAGGCCCTTTAGATGGAGACAGGGATTGCAGTAGAGGGAAAGGAGAAACCAGAATGAGGGGGAAATATATATTTTTTTATTGGGGGGGAGAGGGGTGGTTCCAGTAGCCAGGTTTGAAGGTTTGAAGGAGAAAAGTTACTTACCTTATAGTAACTTAGGTTCTTCTAGATGTTTTGTCCCTGTGGGTGCTCCGCTGTGGGATGGAATGTGCCTGTGGGGTCTCAAGTGGAGAGTGCAAAGCAGTGTCCGCAAGCCAGTGCCTGTGCAGAGCAGCACTTCTTGCCTCCAAGTAAGGACATAAGGGAGGTGCAAACCCACCGCCACTCACTTCCTTCTCAACTGCAAAGCAGACCCTTCACAGCTGAGAGGAAGGAGAGCAGGAGGAGCACCCATAGCAACAAAACATCTTTAATGAACTCAAGTGACTGTAAGGTAAATAAACTCTCCTCCTCCTTCAGTAAATATTTCTATGGGTGCTCCATCATAGGAAACTCCCAAGCAGTAACTCAGTGAGGAGGAAAAGGGTGCTGAGGACACCAAAAGCAATATTGTCCCTGGAAGCAGGTAAGATGGCATAATGCTTGGCAAAAGTATGAAGGGAAGGCCAACTTGCAGCCCTACAAATTTCTGTTATCCTTCAATACAGCTGTAGATGTGTACTGAGCTTGAGGGAAATGTGTTCTCTCTCTCGCTCTCTCTGAGGAGGCTGCATCCCACTAGATTCATAGCAAGTTAAAATGGCAACTCGAAACCCACCTTTGAAGTCTGAGTGGAAATGGGTTGATCCGTCATCCTCTTCTCAAATGATACAAATAGCCTAGGAGAGGCCCAGAAGGTCTTAGACCTGTCAAGATAGAAGGTGAGGGCCCTTCTGACATCTAGCTTATGTAGACTGGTCTCTGAGAGGCATGAGGTTTTGGGTAGAACTCTGGCAGGCAAATCTTTTCATTAATGTGGTATTCTAAAGAGAACTTCAGAAGGAAGAGAGAATGGGGTGCAGTGTTACCTTGTCTTTATAAACGGTGGTATAGAGTGGGGTCAGCCATAAGAGCACTGTGTTCTCCCATTTGTCTAGCTGAAGCGATGGCTATGGAGAATGAAGGGAGAGGTGGAGGAGAGATCAGGTAGCTATCAGTTCAAAGGGAGGTTTCCTCAGGGCCTAGAGAACCAAACTGAAGTTCCACTGAGGGGCCAGATTCTGTATTGGGGAGGGGGGGAGAGAAACAAGTTTTGTAAGCCCTTGAGGAATCTAGCTGTAGTAGGGTGGGCAAAGACTGAGAAGCCTTTGATGGGTGAGAGGAAGGCTGTTATAATGGCCAAAATGTACTCTGAGCTCAATGATAGAACTTGCATCTTTAAATCCAACAGGTAGTCCAGGATTTTGGAGAGCAGAACAGCTGAGGCTTGGGAAGAGTGAAGGGAACACCAGGAGTGGAAGCGGCATTTCCACTTTGATGGTAAGTTTTGCGAGTACTGGGTTTCCTGTTAAATAGGAGACCTGACTGGACCATATCTGAACAGGTTAGTTCCATGTTCAAGAGCGATCTAGGAACCATGCTCAGAGGTTCAAGAAGGAGTAGTTGTGATAGATCAGGGTCCCTGGATTTTGCAACATGAGCTCCTTCCTGAGAGGCATTGCCACAGAGAGATGAAGGAGGTTTGAATACCACACTTGTCTTGACCAAGACGGTGCTAGGAGGATGATGGTCTTTCCTGACACTGTTTGAGTAAGGTCTTGAGGAGTAGAGGTAGAAGCAGGTAAGCCTACAATAGGATATGGGTCCCAGAGTGTTATGAGGATATCTCCCAATAAGTTGTGGCCATATCCTCCCTTGGAGCAGAAAAGACAGCATTTCACATTATTTGGAGGGGCAAAGAAGTCTGTTTCTGCTGAGCCCCAAGTCTGGCAAATTCTGTGGAAGATAGAACCATTGAGTTTTTATTTGTGACCCTGAAGGAAGTATCTGCAATTGTATTCTGGAGACCTGGAAGACAGACAGCTGAGATTTCTATCTAATGGGAAATGTGCCAGTTCCATAGCCTTAGCAACTCTGCACATAAAGACTGGGATCTTGCTCTACCCTGTTGGTTAATACATACATACATACATACATAAATATATATACACACACACTGATGGAGTGGCCCTGTATTATGTGAAGGAAATGCTGGCATGCATAAACTGCTCAGCTCCAGAATGTTGATATGGAGCGTGACCTCTTGTGCAGACCACTTTCCCTTGGCGGTGAGACCGCTCCCCCCATCCCAGAAGAGGAGCATCTGTTGTGAGAATCTTCGAAGATGGGGGATCTGAGAATGGGTTCTCACACAGACCTTCAGTGGCTCCTTCCACCACTGGAGAGATTCCAGAACTTTTAGGTACTTTGATGCTGGTGGAGAGACTGTCTGTTTGTGGTGTACACATCTGAAGTGCAGTCTCATGTGAGGCATGACGAACGTGGAGGCTGATATGTGGATGAGTTTTAGACAGGTTCTTGCAGTTGTTTGCAGGCCATGTTGCATTGTTGAGATTAGACTGAACAGAGTGGAGAATATCATCTCTTTGGGGAGATTGGCAGTTAGGGAGTCTAAAGTGGCTCTGATGAAGTCTATTCTTTCGACTGATATAAAGGTCCAGAGACTGAAACAGGCCTACAGCCATGGAGGTTGCTGACTGGACCTCTAGAGGTGATTGACCCTTGAGAAGCCAATTGTTCAGGCAGGGAATAATGCTATACCCTACTGATGAAAAAGGGCAACCAATGCTGAGAGAAGACCCTAGAAGCATCAGTAAACCAGAAGGGAAAGACTCCGTACTGGGTGTTCTGAGTCTAATTTGAAGTGTGAGAAATGTTTGTGGGATTGGTAGATAACTATATGAAAGTGGGCATCCTGGAGGTCAAGGGTGGTGAACCTCCCAACTCTAGGGATGAAATTAGTGTCATGATTGTGAAGTGCTGGGAAAGGATAGTGGTGTTCAATCATCACTCTAAGAAACCTCAACTCTATCCTCTGCCCCTCGTAGGAACTAGGAAATAGTTGGAGTAGAACCCTCTTCCAACAAACTCTGGGAGAAACGGTCTCATATCCTTGGAGGTGATTGAGAGATTGGAAGAGGGATAGGACAGCAGTGTGGGAGGGAGGGAGGGGAGATCATGTGGAAGGGGATGGAGTATTCCATATCAATCACTTCCAGCCACTCTCGTTCCCTCCCTAGATCTGGGAGACTGGTTCTTTGCCCTTGACATCCAGGACACCTAATTTCATCTAGCTATCCACCCATCCCACGAATATAATTGGTGTGCAGGGAGGAAGTGGGATAGCTGATTCCCAAAAGAGGGTTGGATGGAATTGTTCAGCACAGGATCCTGAAAGATAGATTTCTTGAGGCCCTCAACTGAGAAGTCAAAACTGTTTCTTTAAAAGGGAGGTGCAGCTGATGTGCTATAGAAGGAGATAGTCCCCTTTTCTGAGGTCTAGATCTCCTACTCTGAAATTCCAAAGGTCTGGGAAGAGGCTTTTGGGGGTTGT